CATCATGGCAAACCCGATGCACCCTTAACCATGACAAGACACTCGAAACCGAACTGGAGAGGACACTAGGCAAGCCCGCCACCTGCACCTCCTAGCAAAGGAAATTGCTAGGAAGGCCGGCATAAGGGCAAGACAGCATGCCATCCTCGATACCTCTGCCAGCTCAAACAGCTCTTCCCGACGCAATCGCTCGCGACGGTACTGGGCCAGGTCTGGAGCGTCCCCGACAGGGCGCGGGTTGGTGGCTGCTGCCAAACCTGGCTAGTGCTCTTCCCGTTGGATCCCTCCGCGGGTACTGGGCACCAGAGCAGCTCATCCAACCCCGAGGGCGCGACACGCTCATCACTCGGTTCACGCCTGGCGGTGGCAAGGGGCCGCCTCCACCGATGGCAAACAGTCTGCCACCCCCCTGACCGCAAACTCACAAACAGTTTTCCCTCTGAGTGAATGGCCCAATGCCTGCAACTAGCGGCAGAGACCAGCGCGAGAGGGGTAATGGGCCATCAAGTATATTCCGGATCTCTCCAGTCAAGGCGAGGAGGTTGTGATGACGTCGGCTCCTTTGTTGCCGTTGGCGCACGATGAGGAGGAGCGGATGAGGAGCAGGGTGACATGGCTTTCAGAGTTTGTGGAGGAAGAGCGCAAGATCAAGGCGAGGCAGGTTGAGCGAGGGGAGTATGCCACGCAACGTGAGCGACAGCTATTCTACAAGCTGGATGATGCTATCGACTACATGAACGAGATCCTCTGCCTGAGCCACCAAGCGAGGGAGCAGGCAACTATGAACATGATGAAGTTGATGCAGGAGGCGGAGACGACTCCCGAGGTCGAGGAAATGCTCAAAGCCCTAACCGAGCCGATCGACACCGTGCATGGGGTGGAGCTTCAGGAGGTCAAGCGTCATCTGATGGAGTGGCAAGAGAGCATTCAGAAGGAGATCGAAGTGCTGGAAACGTCTGGCACGCTTCGTCGAGTGCCACTTCAGGAAGCCAAACGACTCGCGGAGGCTGGTGAGATTGTTCTCGCGCCGTCGAAGACAGTACATACAGTTAAACCCCCTTCGGGGGGAAGCGGCAACCAGCTGTACAAAAGAAAAACTCGAATGGTGATATGTGGCAATTACGTCACCAATGAGGTTGAAGTCTACACTGCCGCGGCCAACGCGGAATCAGTGCGAGTGGCATTGTCACTCGCAGCCAGACGACGGTGGGCGGGAGCGGTTACAGACGTGAATTCCGCCTTTACGCTGGCGCCTATGGATGAAGCGGAGATCAAGTACGGAATCACCGTACCGAAAGTTGTGGTGGAGGCTGGAGTGGTCCCGCCGAACACTGCGTACTTGGTCGACAGGGTGTTCTATGGGCTACGGGAAGCGCCAAGGCTGTGGGGGAGCTTCAGAGACAAGAGGGTGCACAGGGCACGACTGATGGTGGAGGGTCAAGAATGCATGTTCTTACAGATGGAGACGGACCCCGCAGTATGGAGGCTTGTGCCGTGCAACAACCACAATGACACTTTGGCGTTGATGGTGATTTACGTGGACGATGTGATGATGCTGGCGCCGGAGAATGTCATCAAGGACATATACCAGTGGCTCACTGTGGGACTGTGGGTGTTGAGGGCGATCAGGGATGGAGATGTTCACCAATGGAGTGGATTGGGAAGGCTCCAGTTCGCTATTTGGGCATGGATATCCGTCGAAAGAACACTACCCTTACCAGTTTTCATGTGTCGCAAGGGAGCTATGTTGGTGAGCTGCTGAAGAGTTATCCAATGGAAGCTGGTCGACCATCGCAAGTCCCGGCCACCAAGGATACAATGCCATCACAAGACGACTTGGATGAGGAGGAGGGAAACGGACAAGGTGACCCGGATCCAAGCCAGGTCAAACAAGCCCAGCGCATAGCAGGCGAGCTGCTCTGGCTGGTGACCCGTACCAGACCGGACATTGGATATGCCACGGCCCATGTGTGTGGGGCGGCTTTGAAGAGCCCTGCGGCTGCGATGAAGATGGTGATGAGGTATCTGGCCGCGCCTACGTGGGGACTGACCTACAATGGGGTGGGCGAGCCTGTGGAGGCGTATTCAGACGCCAGTTTCGCTCCCCAGGGTGATCGAAGCTTTGGCTGCGTAACCACGGCAACCTACGTACGGTGGATTTGCAGCGTGGCGAATGACGAAACAGCCTACAGTGGTGCTGTCAGCAGCTGAAGCAGAGTTGGTGGAGCTAGTCAATGCCAGTCAGCAAGCTGCGGGACTATGGAGGAAGCATCCCCAGAGGACTGTGGCAAGCCGTTGGTCTTGCGAGTGGACAACACAGCAGCGTGTGGCCTAGCAACGACCGCTCCTGGTTCATGGAAGACGAGGCACCTGAAGGTCAAGGCACGCCACCTAAGGTTCGAGACCAGCGAAGGCCGCATCAGAGTCGTACACACTCCGGGCGAAGTTCAGGCTGCGGATATGGGGACAAAGCCAGTGCCAGTTGCAAGGCTGGTGGACCTTAGAAAGCTGTCAGGCATGTGCTCTGCAGAGGACTTTGAGGCCGATGAGGAGGAAGTGATCGTGCGCAGCCTACGTGGCGGAGATTACTACGACTTGCTAAGGATGATGGCGTGGATGATGATGGTGTCAAAGATTCCGGGAGTCAAGGCAACGGGCATTTACCACAAGAAGCCCTTGGACTATGATGGCAGTGTGGAGTTTTACGTGCTCTTGCTCGTCGGTGGTATAGCTTTGCTGGCAGTATGGGAAGCCTTGAAGTGGGTAATGCAGAGATGCTTTGGTGACGATGAAGCTACTGTGGCAAAGGCTAGGAGACTGCTGAGGATCCGTCAAAGGCTTTGCAGCAGGAGTTGGAGTCGATGAGTGCGAGTTCCTCCGACCCCATCAACGCTGACAAGCCAGTGGTATCTACGCCAAAATTGGCTACGACACCGCTTTCAGAGGTGTCCCAGGGGCCAATGAATGATGCAACGAGGTCTACGAGATCTACTACGAGAGTGCCTGATGATGACCCCGACCTGAGAGCAGCGTTACACACGGCAAGAGATGGAGGGTATCAACGGTTGAGGACACCCTTCATGATGTCAGAACATGGGGATCGCCTTCACTTGGTGGCAGACTGCCATGGACTGAGGCATGCAAACAAGACAAGATTGAAGAAGATGCAGGTCTGTCATTATTGTGATGGGCACTTCCCGCTCTCGTACAAGGTCGTGCAAGGGAGGGTGATTCCTGAGGGCAGATGAGCATCAGAGGCAGCATTTGGAGATATTTTATCTCCAAAAGAGGAGGAGTGTTGATGCGCAATAGCCCTCCTGACTGCACAGTTTCAAGTGAAGTGAGCTCTTGAAGGGTTGTCGGCATGAGTTTGTAAAGATGGCCGCAACCGCGTACTTATCGGGCCCAAGGGTGTGGCTACGTAGAGCCCCTTGAGTCCACAACACTACTTGCAGCTCAACTTTGTACACCCCGAGCCGAAGCAAGTAAGTGGAGCAACAACCAGACTTTGTGTGTGGAGTGAAAAAGAGAGTCGTGCGCCTGTGGAGCTTGCCATGGATGTGACTGCGCCGACTGAACCAGACTATTCAGCTGTCCTTCCCGATGTAAACCCAGTGCAAGCACATCAACAGGGTATGAGCCCAAATACCGCGAGCGTAACTGCCGTTACAGATGTGCAAGAGCCAATGCAAAACGCTGTAGTGGCGACTGGTAATCAGGAAGTGGACGGTGGTGTGGCCGTGAGGACGATGGCGGTGGCAGTGGCTACAGCCCAGTCTGGGGGCACTCCGAATTGGCCAGCTGCAGAGGCTAGCCCTTCTGGACGAGTGGACATGGCTCACGAGCAGATTGTGGGCACTGCAGAACACCCGTTCGGACAGATGAATGCGGCGCAAGCTTCGTGGAGTATGATGGCGACGCGGAGAACTACGCCAGCATGGATCCAGAGGCTTGGGGCTTTTTTCCACGAGATGAGAAGCCAGCAAACGGCTTGGCCTCCTTCGCCGATGGGATCTCCACCTACGAGGACAATGCAAAGCTCAAGGGGATCGCCAGAGGTGGAACAGCGAGGCTGGGGATCGCCAGTGTTGCTGAGCCCTGAGCAACAGGAACAGCTTCGAAGGATGGAGCAAAGAGCACCGCTCCTGTATGGCCCACCCAGGGGTGAAAGACAACCGGAGGGCAATGGCAGCTCTGGTGGGAGCACCTACGAGGCAGTGCAGGAGGAGGTGAAGAGACAACTGCGAGGGGTCGTCTCGCAATTGGAGGCTTCAAGAAGAGAGGCACAAGATCTACGACAGGAAGTGGAGTTCTTGCGTGCTGAGCGAGAACAAAGTGGGCCCAGCAGACAACTGGAAGATATGACGATGCCCGAGGGGCCTCCAGTGACGCTGGGAGGATATTTGGCCAACAAGCCGGCAGAGTCAGAGAATGGTCCTGCAGCAAGTACCTTGGTGGAGCAAGCAAGATCCTCTACCGGAGCAAGACCGGGGGTACAAGAAGTCATGCCTACCACGGGGGTGTCGGGCTTACATACAGGTCCTGCTCTTGGTATGGTACAAAGCAGTGCAGCCATGCCTACCACGGGGGTGTCGGGCTTATGTGCAAGCTCTTCTATCGGAGGGGGATCGGGCATACAAGCAGGTTGCTCTACCACAGGGGTGTCGGGCTTGCAGGCAAGGTCTACTATGGGTACAGGGCCAAATATGCAGACACAACGGGCTACCTCTACGCCGATGGGGTTGGGTACAAAGCAGAGTCAGCATCTGGCGGCCGCGCCGTCAGAACAGGCGCCACCGAATCCAGCAGCAATTACATCTGGATCAATGGCGGGGCTTGGCGGAGCAGCAGCTGGAGGCTCAGATCCAATGTCGAGGCTGTTAGAGGGCCTTGAGAAGGTTATCAAGGGTGGGAAGCCGGAGGAGCTAAGCAAAACGGTGGACTCACCCAAGCTGCCTGAAATTTCAGAATCGTCGTCAGTGGACTTCGGTGATTGGTTGTACCTCATAGAGCATGTGATGAGTGACCTTTCGACTTCCAGTGCAGAGCGGTGGGCGGCTGTGGTGCAAGATGGGCTGCAGATCAGTTCTCGAGGTTGTCGATGAAGCCAGCTGCATCTCCCACTTTGAGCGAGGCGAGATGGAGTCGCCTGGACCGGAGGGGTGCAACCATTCCACTGGGGGCTGCCCCGGAGGACGTCAAGAAGGAGCTGGTGGCGACGAGGACCAGGACCACTCTGGAGGTTTTGGCAAGGCTTATGGTTCTTTATCGTCCAGGGAGTGCTTTGGAGAAGGGTCAGCTGCTTCGGAGGATTGAAAGCCCGGACGCAGCAGCCACAGTGCAGGAGGCTATTGAAGGGCTTAGGCAGTGGCTGAGGCATGACCAAAGAGCCCGTGACTTGAAGCTGTCGGTTCCTGATCCATCAGTCACGCTTCGCGGCATTGACCAGCTGGTGAAGAAACCCGTTCAGGACAACCCGGAGGTCGCGTTCCGTATGAACTTGCTCCGCTACCACCTGAAGGTTGACTTCTCCCCGACAGAGGAGACGATCCTGGCAGTGCATCGTGCTTTGCTGGCTGAGTTTGAGCAGATGGGGTTCAAGAAAAAGACAAGACAAGCTCAAGAAGGCACGTCCACAGCGAGAGTGAGGGCTATGGATACACAGCAAGCTCAGGTTCCCACGGCCTCCATACCAACGTCGCCTTCGTCTACGGGAAAAACGGCCAGGCCATGCCGGTTTTACGTCACCGATGAGGGCTGTAGGCGAGGGAAGGCTTGCAAGTATGAGCATACAATGAAGGACCTGAGCAAGGCTGAGCGGCGAGATCGATGCTATGAGTGTGGAGCAAAGGGCCACATGGCTATGGCGTGTCCGACGAAGAAGGAGGCGCAGCAGAAGGCGGTCTCGGCGGGGGATTCACCCTCGTCCTCTAACAGCTCAGTCGCTTACGACCTCTACCACAACGGCAACGCCAGCGACAGCTACGGAGGCTCCAGTACAGGGTGTGCCAGTGGAGCAGTTGATCGAGGATGCTCAGAAGCTGATGAAGGCTTTCATGGAGCAGAAGACGCAACCCGTGGTACAAACGCTACGGGTGGATGAGGCAACCTATCAGAGGGGCTGTGAGTCACCAGCGTTGCGAGAGTTCCTAAAGCAGAACGAGGAGTTGGTTCGCATGAACCGCATGGGATTGCTGGACTCAGGCGCGACTCACCCATTGCGAGGCCGGACAGAACGGGACCAAGCTGGGGCAATGGACAATGTCAATGTGACCCTGGCTGGCGAGAACCGAGTGCAGATGACGCAAAACAAGGCTGGCACGATTATTGCTCACCAAGATGCGCAGCCGATAGTACCTTTGGGAACACTGGTCAAGGCTCTGGGGTACGAGTTTGTTTGGGATCATCGTGGATGCCGACTCCGACACCCGGACAAGAAAGAGGTGCGGGTGTACACACGGTCCGCATGTCCAGAGGTCATGCAGTGCGATGCGTTGCGCCTCATAGCGGAGCTGGAGGAGGCGAAGCTTGCAGAGACGATGAGTTCGCTGGCACAACTGAAGGCATCAGTGATGGCGGCGAAGGAGTACAAGGAGAGGAGCTGGAGGGACCATGTTCAGGACTATGTTGCCTCGGGTGTGTACGAGTCGGGGGTCAAGGCGGTGATGTGTGCGCCATTCATGCACCATGTGCCGATGAAGGACCAGCTGCAGACGATCGTCCCGCTGCCAAAGGACGAGGGCGAGGCTTGGCAATGGATGAAAAGATTCCCGATGAACAGAGCTAAGCGAAGGAGGCTTTGGCAAACGGGGGAATGGACGGTTCACCTGTTCTCGGGAGCTGGAGTGAAGAACGACCCTCTGCGTGATCTTCCAGGCCTTGTTGAGATAGACACGAAGAAGGGATGGGACCTCAACGATGACAAGATCTACGGTGTGCTGCTTTGGATGGCAAAGGAGAAGCGTGTGAGACATGTCGTTGGAGGACCGCCTGCTGGGACGTTTTCTCCATGGCATTACAAGAGAGACCCAGACGGCCGCCAGAGAGCTCTGAGGTCCACGCACGAGCCTTGGGGACTACGTGAGGGGCTTAATCCTGATGAGAGCTCAAAGGTCCTTAATGAGAATGTCATGCTTTGCAAGATGGTGTGGTCGTGGCTGTGCGCGGAGGCTGCGCATGGTGACCAGGATGAAGGAGGCCAATACCGCGTTGGTTTCTGTATGGAGTACCCCGAGGATCCTCACAACTACATGCCAGAGGGCGAACACCGCAGCTCATGTGTCTCAGTGTGGAGAACTGAATTCATGAAGGAGTTCATCAAAGAGACTAACCTCATCAAGCACCAGTTTGAGCAGGGTGCTTTGGGACACATGTTTCGGAGGCCTACCTGTTGTTTGAGCAATTTGGGTCTGGGAATACAGGGACTCAAAGACCAGAGAGCCTACGTGGCGGCGGACAACAAAGACGCAGATCATTCAGTTTGGCCGCATGGTTTTCGGATCACTTTGGCGGACGCGATTCATGAGTGGAAAAATGGTGAGAGCCCCATAGTAGTCAAGAAGGCGATGACGAAAAAGGAGCTGGAAGAGTGGAAGGCTCATGTTGAACGTGGGCACTGGCCTTATAGACGTGATTGCTCAGTTTGCCTGACCGCTTCAGGGACAGGAAGGCCAGCGAGAAGGGTGGTCCATAGAGATGCCTACGTGATGAGTTTGGATATAGCTGGCCCGTTCGCAGACAGACAAGGGAAAGGACGAGGTCAGGGGAAAGAAATATCGCTTTGTGCTTGCGGCGACCTACCTTTACCCAAAGATGCGGGATGTACCTGAGGACGCTCCGATCCCGAATGAGGAGGAGGCGGAGGAGTTCTTGAGGGAGGAGGAAGAAGAAGAGCCAGAAGCACACGAACTTCCTGAAGATCCCGAGTGTGAGGCACAGGAGGAGGAATGGAAGAAGAAAGTCGCGGACCTACGAAAGCCAATCGAGTTGCAGATGCTCAGGTTCTGCATTCCGTTGGAAAGGCACACTGGCAAAGAGATTCTCGAGTGCATCCAGGACCTGTATGTTCAGTTGAGGGCTATGGGGTTGCCACTGACGAGGATCCACAGCGATAGAGCTCGAGAGTTTCGGGTCAAGCCGGTGTGAAAATGGTGTCGAGAACGGGACATTTACCAGACGTTCACGGAGGGCTTGGCGCCTACACAAAATGCGGTGGCAGAGAGTCATGTGAAATGGCTCAAAGGCAGGGCGCGAGTACACCTGAACGAGATGGAGTTGGACAAGGAGTTTTGGCCTTGTGCTATGAAGCATGCGGCACGAAGACTGCGGGTATCAAGTTTGGTTCCGTTGTTTGGGTGAAGTCCAAGAAGGACCGAGGGCCGTTTGACCCAAGGTGGGAACGAGGCAGGTATATGGGACCAGCCGACGATGTTCGTGAAGGACATGTGGTTCGCTTGGATGATGGCCTATGGCTTCGCACCTTGCATATGAGGACGGTGAGGGACGACGAGATGGAAATGGAGGAGGAAGAGCACATCGTGGACCTCATCGAGCCTACGAGGCGCATGCGAGGAAAGACCAAGTTGAGTGACCCTGAGTTGCGGGCCATTCGCAAGCAAGAAAGGGCTGCCTTGGTGAAGGAGTTGATGGAGTCCAAAATTTGGAATTCACCTCAGGCCAGAGTGGAGCGACCCCAGATGAAGGAGGGAGAAGTCTGGGATGGTGCTGCATACATAAACCTGGGTGCATATCAGCATGGGGGAATCACCAGCATCACCAAGGCGACTGAGAAGTTCAACAAGGAGGCTGTCTTGGCTGCTAAGCTCCTGGCGCTTGATCACCCGGGGTCGTCGTTTACGTCAATGGCCTTGGTGAAGAATGCGGTTATGCCAACACACCGCGACTCCTTCAACCACAAGAAGGCGATGAACCTGATCTCACCCCTCAGAGTTGCCAAAGGAAGCTGTGTTTGGCAGGAGTTAAAGCAGGGGGGTGAGTTCAAGGGGAACTACTGCTCAATGTGGGTGAATGAGAGGGAAGTACCGGGCCAGAAGATGAGCGTGGAAATCCCAGCCAAGGTTCGTCCCGATCGCCTACATGCACCACTTCGAGGAGATGACGGAGATCGAATTGTGGTGATAGGCTACACAGTGAGCAAATGGGAGAAATTACATCAGTTTCAGTGTGATGATCTAGAGGAGCTGGGTTTTGTCCTACCGGAACGTGAACCAGTGGTGAAGATGATGAATGCCGATGGGAGGAGAAGGCCGCCTACGCCACCAATTCCGGAGGAGAACTCGGGAGCCATTGGTCCACCAACTGGGACCACAGCAGCTCCGCCGACCGGAGCTACGAACACAGTGATGACCTCAGGGGCGAGTTTCTTGGGGCCAGGATCGTCAAGCGAGTCGACCTTGCCAAGGCCGGTGTCAGAGGATCACATGGAAGTGAGCTCAGGCACTCCAGCACCTCATACACTACAATCTTCTTCGTCGGGGTCAAGGTCGGGGCAAAGGGAGCATCTTCCTGAAATGGGCGGGGAGCGCTTGGACAGCATGGTGGTTCCAGGAGGTCGTGTGGAGCTTCGGCTAAAATGGGCCATCAAGTGAGTGAGTGTGGCTGGGTATTGT